TTTCATTCTAACAATCTCCCCTGATAGATACCCCAAATCAAACGACCGGTCAAGGGTGCCCGACGAGGCGGTCAGATTCAAGATGGCCTGAAGCTTAGAAAATGAGCATGTGATTACCGTTCGTTAGGGAAGGCGTCTAGGGACCGGAGTCAACCATCTTCAAGCGACCACTCATCCAGGAGGGCAGGTACCTACTCAGTTGGAGATCGGCCGACTCAAGTAGAGCGACTAGGCCTGGCAGTCGGCTTGTCCTCGGTTGAGCTCAGATATGGGGCGTGGACGAGCGACCAGTCTCGGTAGTCGGTGTGTCTCCGACTGAATGCCCCCCGGGATTCGGACGGATGACCAGGCTCTGTGGGCGGTGTGTCCTCGACCGGGTACCTCTCGGGAACTTAGTCAAGCGACCAGGCTCCGCGGTCGGAGTGTCCTCGCCCGAGTACCGCGGCCCCTTAAAATATCTTTTTGGCGGTCAGGGCTTCCCCGGCTGGGTGCTCATCTAGAAGCGGTAATAGGCAGATTTTGTAGAGATCTCCATATTTATTTAAGTAGCTTCCTTTATTACCTTAGACAATTATGGTAGTAAGTAAGCGGATTCCTTAACCAAATTAGCTCTACGTCAGCCCTACTTCCCATATAGAATTTTCTCTATGTTTGCCCTACTTTCCTTGTAGGAATCTTGTACTCTAGTATAAATATCCCCGCGGGATCACCATGTAAAAAGATGGAAACTCTGGCACTCTAGCGGCCGAAACAATAGAATAATAAACATCATATTATTCTCTCCACTATTCTAATCCCTATTCATCTACACCCTTATTCAAGTATTTTACGGTAGTGTTGGCCCGCTACACGGCATCCCAAAGCCGTAAAACAAAATTGGCGCCATCTGTGGGGAACGAAACACGAGGTTCCATCTTTATGCTTTACAAATGGCACGTACGCGACACAGCAACTGGAATAACAGAGAGAACACCGTGGCCCCGCCGGCTAATGGCCACGTCATTGTCATCGCTAACGCGGCAGAATCGCCGGCTGGCAGCCGTGCTTCCGGGGATGATTTAAGGGAGCAGTTAAGCCACCTAGCTTCAGGGGAATAATTAGATGCACGTACCGAGCATACTGTCGCGCTGACTCACGAGTCATCATGAATCAACAAGCCACCACCTGTCGCTCATACCCAAGCTAACTTCGCGGAGTTGTTAGTGCAAGCCTTTGATGCATATGTGCATGGAATGGAACATGCTCCCCCCCACTACGAACCTGCAACCCTCGTGGTCGGCTCCCGTGGAAAATGGTAATGAAGTTTCTGAGCATTCGAGGTGCTCAAAGGGCTACCCGCCCGGGAATCTACGTGCCCCCCGCTTAGTACATTCACGGCTTGGCCCGCGGCTCCCGTCAGTCAGTGTTAGATCGATTTGGCAGTCAAGTAAGGCAACGCTCCCCTGCCCATTCAACTAGAGGGGGAGAGAGCGGCCTGAGGGAGAGCCTCCCCTGCCCATTCAACCGTCGAAGGCATGAGAGAATCGTCCATGATCCCAAAACAACCCAACGCGGAGATGGCCGACTTGGCTGTCGCGGTCCAAGAGCTCTGGCAAAAGATTGAGGAAAGATAGGCTACTTACTAACAACCTACTGACTGCCTCCCCCTTCTCGTCGGAGGTACAGGCTTATAGGGCACCGACGGATTTCAAGTTGCTCGATCATCCCACCTATGATGGGACTGGGGACCCGCGTGACCACGTCATTAGCTTCTAGGCTAAAATGTAAGTGATCGGGGTGGAAACCCCAATGATCTGTTGGGTGTTCTTCCTTACATTGGTTGGCCCCGCTCAGCGCTGGTTCCTAGCTTTGAGGAATTGGCTCGCTAGTTCCTGACGCACTTTGCCGGGAATATGAAGCCTAAGAAGTTCGTGTCGAACTTATCTCGGGTACACCAAGACGAGGGAGAAAGCTTACGCAAATATATAGTGCGCTGGCAGAAGGAGGCCCAGGCGGTCGATGGTTTGGACGACCAGACAGCCCTTACGTTCTTTATCGAGTCTTTGAGGGTGGACGAGTATTACAGTAAGCTACGGGATGAGAATCCCAAATGTCTGACATGACATTTATGGAAAAATGGGTCTCGAAGCCCTAACCGACGAGACTCGAGGGGTCGTCATAATTGCGTTACAACGACCGTACATCTTCGCGGGACCAGTTGGGAAATATCGGGATCAGTCGAGAAAGCAAGGGGATACCGACCGAGTGCCTAGTTGGTCAGTTAGGATGGAAAGCTAGGCGGCCAGGAAGTGTTAACGTTTCCTTGAACTTTTTTCTACTTTTTCAGGTCATCTCTCAGCTAAACCTAAAAAAGTGAGGGACTGGTGATAGATATCCCAAATCAGACGACCATTCATGGGTGTCTGGCGAGGTGGTCAAATTCAAGATAGCCTGAAGCTTAGCAAATCAACATGTGATTATCGTTCGTTAGGGAAGGCGCCAGGGGACCGGAGTCAACCATCTTCAAGTGACCGATCATCCAAGAGGGCTGGTGCCTACTCAGTCGGAGATCGGCCGACTCAGGTAGAGCGACCAGGCTTGGCAGCCGGTGTGTCCTCGGCTGAGCTCAGATATGGGGCGCGGACGAGCGACCAATCTCGGCAGTCGGTGTGTCTCTGACTGAATGCCCCTCGAGATTCGGACGGACGACCAGGCTCCGTGGGCGGTGTTTCCTCGACCGGGTACCACTCGAGAACTCAGTCAAGCGACCAGGCTCCATGGTCGTAGTGTCCTCGTCCGAGTATCGCGGCCCCTCAAAACATCTTGTAGGCGGTCAAGGCTTCCCCGGCAGGGTGCTCATCTATAGGTAGTAACAGGCAGATTTTGCGGAGATCTCCATATTTATTTAAGTAGCTTCCTTTATTAGCTTAGACAGTTGTGGTAGTAAGTAGGCTGGATTCCTTAACCGGATTGGCTCTACGTCAGCCCTACTTCCCATATAGAATTGGCTATACGTCAGCCCTACTTTCCTTGTAGGAATCTTGTACTCTAGTATAAATATTCCCCCGGGATCACTGTGTAAAAGGACGGCAACTCTGGCACTCTAGCGGCCGAAACTATAGAATAATAAACATCATATTATTCTCTCCACTATTCTAATCTCTATTCATCTACACCCTTATTCAAGTATTTTACGGTAGTGTTGGCCCGCCGCACGGCATCCCAAAGTCGTAAAACCAACATCCCCTTTTGGTATATATTGATCAAACACACAAACAAGTTCTCCACAAATATACATCAAGTTCTCCCCCTTAATTCATACACACTCTCCCCCTCAATTCATATCATGTCTCCCTCTTTTGATAAACATTAGCCAAAGTAACATAACCACAGCAGCATGTATTGAACAATGCAAGAAAATCAACTAAGAGCATGCAAACGATAAGATGTAGATAGATTCTGAAATTGGAGAAGTTTACAAAGGGTGGATATGAGAGGTATACCAACATGAGAGCCCCATAAGTATAATGATCAAGCACGGAAGTAACAACACTGGAAAGCTTTCACACCGGACTCCTCTCAAGTCATTTTGATCCATATTAAGTACCGAGTAGCCCTCTTCCAAGTAACCCGTTTAAGGGACACTTTACACTAGAAAGCTTTCACTCCGTGCTGATCTAGGGTTCTTTTGAACCGTAGCACACACCGGGTAGCCCTCTTTTAGGTAAGTATGTCAAAAATGTTAATGAAACGCTTTACACTAGAAAGCTTTCACTGCGGGCTATTCCAGGGTCCTTTTAAACCGTAGTAGACACCGGGTAACCATCTTCTAGGTAATTAAAACAAGTATGTACTGGTAAGAATGTTTATGCGTGTGAAGAGGATGGAGCAATCATATAACATCATACAAATTTCAAGTGTAATATGTGTAGCAGGAGTAGAGAAACAATAACATAGGGCTCTTACTAAAAGTGGAATGGTGAGTGGGAAATATGGGCAACAGGCATTCGAATCACGTCCAGAGTAGTCTCAACAGGATAAACTATCAATAAAATGCTCTAGAGGAACTACTTTCAAAGAGAACAACACTACTACTGAAAACTAAACATTTCCACTGAGTTGACCCTCAATAGAACAAGGACTGATTTGATGAAGAACTTGTAGACCCGGAAGATGCGGCATATGCTTCAGCTATGTCAATATCTTCATCGCCAGTCTGTATCTCTTCATTTGCCTCATGTGTAAGGTCAACATCCTCAACGTCAGTCTATATCTCTTCAACTACCTCATGTGTTTCTGGTGTGGTAGGTTGCATCTGATTTGAGTCCCTCCTTATCTCACTATCTTCCACAAATTCTTCTGCAATTTTGAAGAACTTCTCATAGTTTGCACGTTCTTCCACATCATCAGGGCAGCACATGCTGATATAACAGGGTGTTGGCAAGATTTTAAGGCAGAAAAATTCAAATTTGATGCATTCCCATCATTATTCATCTTTCTACTTTCCCACTCTAGGTTTTTAGGTTAGATTATATTAGTTTTTCCTCTCCCTTCTCTCTAGAAATTAGCTCTCAAACACTCTCCATTTTGTAAGAAGAAGAAGGGGATCTTCAAGCTCATCTTGGTGGATCTTCATCTTCACTTGATTGTTTTATAATTTTGACATCACAAGTGGGTAATTTCTTAAGATCTATCTTTATATTGCTTGATTTGATGATTATGCATATTTTGTCTATGTTGAGATTATTGAGCATGAATATGAGTAGCTAGATTTCTAAGAGTGGGTTGGATATTTCTTGTGATTGTTGATGTATTGATTAATGTGATTTGGCTATATGTTTGATCTTTGTTGGAAGTGGATTTTGTATTATCTTGCGTGTGCGTTGCACACACTCTTGCGTGAGGTTTAGGATGGGTGTATTGGCAAGAGATTGTGATACACCCTAGCCTTGTTTGTATGAGTGTATTGGCAAGAGATTGTGATACACTCTAGCCTTGATTGGTAGTGTGATTGGCTTGACTTATGTTTGAGTTTGTGCACCACATACATGAGAGTTAGGAAGAGTGTATTGGCAAGAGATTGTGCTACACTCTAGCTTTTCCACTTGCAATTCTCGCCTTGTGATCCGAGAGGGCCAAGTCCAGAAGCAAACACATAAGCAAGGTGTTTGATAAATTGCCTTAGTCACACTAAGGTGTGTTCTAAGAGGCTAATTACGTATCGTCTTAGCACTAGCAAAGCGTGAGCCAATGATCAAACCCCCGTTTAGCCACCGTTCTAGCCAATGACTATACATTGAAATTATAGGAATTCCAATCCACTCCACTTCTTTTTATTTTCTAGTTTTTTTTTTTGCATGTTTTCCTTTATTGCACTCCTAACTCATACCATCCCTTACACTATCTCGCACACATGCTCCCACCTACGCTCCTTGCACCTAGTTTTCTCTTGTTAATGCACTATGATAAGTGATTGTCTTGCACTATATTTATTCCAACTTGCCATCCTTGAGTTCGACACTCGGGGATTCCACATCTCCATTTACACTTATCCATCATCCATTCCATCCTACATCACCCCGCTAAATTACATCCCATCAAATGGCGCCATTGCCGGGGATGACAATAGGTGCTAAGTAGAGTGTGCTTACTATGACAATCTAGGAGTGTATTAATAAGATTACTAGGTTGCCCATTCATTTTTATTGTTGTTTTTCTTTTTTTTTTTTTTTGTATATATTACATCTTGTTGATTGATTTGAAAGTGAGTATAAACTTGTTGAATATCCTATTTGCTCACGAGCAACTACTTCTAGTTGCAAGGACCTTGTTTCCCTCTTGTTCTTTATAGCTGATTTTTGAAAAAAAAAATGTTTTCTTCATCCTTTGATTGGTACGATGAACCTATCCTTGTCCGACCTTAGCATCCCATTCAAAAACCCACTCCACCCCCACACGAACCAAACTCTCAAAATGCTTACTCCTACAACCACCATTACACTCCATCACCACCTCAACAAAAATACGCAAACACTGATCCCCCAAAACGCTACCAAGAGCCATCCTATGATCCTAAATTAGAGCATTCAAGCAATTGGGCCCAACCACTACAAAGAGAAATTCCTCATGGTTATTCGGGTGGATACCAAGAACCAAGGTATTTCTGAAATGATTATGAGAAGAGATATCAAGATCAAGGATGTTACTCTAATATGTACCTGGGAGATAGAAGGAACAATTTTCATGAAGCTTACCACTCCCAATCCTATCCTTCTAACCATTGTGAACAAAATAATGACTATTTTCTACAAAGAGGCCGAAATAACTCTCAGTCCTATATCCCTTACCAAAGCCAAGCCTACTCTCCCCAATTTTACACTCAAAACACGCCTTCCACTGAAGAAAAATCCATTAGAGAAGAATGGAAGGAAACCTTACAACCCTTGAAAAAGATGGGGGAAACTCTTAGCCTCTTGATTAAGGAGCACAACTGTAACACCCCCGATTTTCATGACATTTTTAAAACATAAATACGAAAGGCAAAGCAACTAACAGATATCATAAAACATAAGCAACAGCGGAAGACTTAGATTAAAAATGGGAAAACCAAGGAGTGATATGCCACATCCACGTCAACGTGGATGCACGGGCAAGTCTAAAACCAACAATCCATCTTGTTTATCATAAACATGGCACACAGGCCCAAAACACTAACTAAGATGTTCAAGGGAGCTACACTACTACCAACAGCTAGCGCACTCGCCATATCTACTCAGGACATGTAAAGCACATAAAGAAAGGGGACGACGCCCGGTCATCGAATATTGTTGATAACCCATCAATACGCGTTAAGTAGCATATATAGATAGTATAATACAAAATCATTTTCGAAACGGAATACAGTATATATCAATTCAAAGTCAAAGAGAGAAGTCAACTGCAAAGACTCTATTTCACTCTCAAAAAAGAACAAGGGAAATCAACATCCCAGACAACATCAAAACAAGAACGACAACAGTACAACTCAACACAGCTCAAGATGTAATCTACTGATCACAAAGTAGGAAAACATCAAGGCAAAGACAACAACGATAACAAAATACAAATCGAGGTGTATTCTACTGATCACAAAGTAGAATATCACTCGACATGCTCAACAAGAAAAGGATAGGTATTCACACATTGGCACTACATGCCACCGTGACACTTCATGTCACAAGTTCCAACCTTATGCCCTGTTCCAACCTTATGGCTACCCCCGGCCTTATTACGGTTCCAACCTTTACCTCCGAGTGCCACCCTATACTTCCAAGTCCAACCTTTTGCCTCTGGGAACCGTCGTTCCCCCTCCAACAACCGCCGAACGCTCAGTACATGAGGGTACATTGCAAGATCATATCACAAAACCGCCAAACATGTGAGCTAAACTCACGATAATAAACCACCAAACTCAATTCATGGCCACCACAAGGACCACATCTGTACCTTGGTGATTAATGTCCCATACCATTAACCGTGCAATCAAGGTACAGCCAGTACACACACTTTCATCATAGGAATCAATCAATGGATCACAACAAAGATATGAAACCATACTCAATAAAGGAAGGACTACAATCCGACTCCAACGATGGTCAACACAAGTTGCCATTCTCAAAAGGAAAGAACAAACCGCACACACTAGCATTTCAACATCAAACTAGCATGCTTATCGAACGGGTAAACCAAACATAGTTCCTTAGAACATACAAGACTCAACATGGTTCAACGAATCACAATGTTGAACACTTAGCACGATTCAAGACACCAAATCCTACATGGATTCCTAACATATCATTCTAGACATACGAAACACCAAGAAGACACTCAAATAGCCCAATAAAACAACATCGGGAAGTCAAAATATCAATTATCGAGTCAAAAGAATCACGGGGAACAAATCCCCAAACAACCATCAATACGTACCCCACGGGTGGGGCCACGGGTGGACCCCCACCCGTGGTTCCCCCCGCGGGAACCATACTCCAAAGCCGCCTGGGGCAGTAGTATGTAGCCCAGTAATATTGTATGTAGTCAAATATCAATTTTTTTCTTTTAATTTTTTTGAGATAAGTAAAATGTCAATTTTAACCCGGCTAAAAATGGAGAATTTTTTTTTCCGCTGAAATTTTGACGGAAAACTGGCCGGAAGGACCATTTTTGCAAACAAATCAATAGTCGTGGACTAAAATTGCAAGGTTCAAAAGTCGTGGATCAATTCTGCCAGTGCCACTATAGTCGTGGGACTAAAAGTGCAAAAAACTTGTTAGCTTATCAACTAATTTTGACTTATTTGACCATTATTAACTGTTTGACTTGGTTAAATAATCAATATGAGTATTTAATTAATTAGCTTTTTGTAACAATTTATTGCTCTAAAATATTAAAATTCAAAAAGTTAGTCAAAGTAATTTTTTCGATCAACTTTTTGAGAAAGATCATTTTACATGTAATCAACTATCAGCTAACAGCTAATTTACCAAACACTTTTTTATAATCAACTAATATTATCAACTAATTAAACTCCCTAACTCAATCACCTAACAATTATTTACCGTCCAAAAAAATACAAAGTATATTCTCACCTGTGGAAGTGTATAATATAATAGTCCATTATGAAAGAGTGAGAACTGAGAAGGAACTTTTCTGGAGAAAGATTCTCAGCAACAACTAACAATGAATATTATATACCCAAAAATAACATTGTTCTAAAAGAAAAGAACTCTGCCTCGCATTTCTCAATAAAAATTAATAAAGATTTTTATTGAAAATTGAGAGATTCTAGTTTACTAATCATGATGGCCATGCTTTCTACACTCTAGTACTCTACTAGTATATAAAGTAATAAGAAAAAACAAATAAAAATTTATAAATAAATCTAAATGGATTTGCTATTTGCTAGGCGTGCTTAGTTCTGTAATTAGCTTGGAAGGGGCTGACATATCTTTATGGGGACATGCAAAGTATATAATATAGAAAAAGATCGACTATTTTCCATTAAAATTTTTATCAAATTATGTTATTTTATATCTGGAGCACATATTTTAATTTTGTATCAGCTATCAGTTTAGATTTTTAATTGAAATAAGAACACATACTTCTATTATATGGTTTATAAGGAGAGAAAATTAAAATTATAAATTGAAATACATGGCCAAATTATCTTAAAGTTAATGTTAATTTAATAAAATTATAACAGATGTAATAATATCAACAAAGTTATGAGATTAAATATGATCAAATTAAAAGTTGAGAATTAAATGCGATAATGTCATAATAGTTGTGAAACTAATAAGTGAAATTTTCATTTATACTATGTTACAATTATATGTAGCAATAGGTGTTGTGAATGTTATTTGTATTTGATAAAATTATATTGTTGATATATTTTTGCTAAGGTATAAATTATAATTTTATTTAAACGCATTATATTATTATGTGCGATATCATATACTTTGTAGTAGAGTTTCTTAGATACATTATAAATTTTTTGTTAATATATACTTGGGTAATCTCAGTTTTGTCGGATTAATGCTAAGCATACACGACTTTACCTCTAGAATTATTGTAGAGGTAAATCTTGAGTCACGCAATCAACTCACTGGTCAGACCTTAATCTTCATGTACTTACAGTGTTGCAAAAATCGCGCCTAAGTACTGATTAATCGGCGCCTAAGCGCTAGGCGCTGGCCGACCGCCTTGCGTATCACCATAATCGGTGGTCTAAGCGACTCGCCGACTAGGCCGCCTAATCACCGACCAAGCCTCCTAGGCACCGACTAGGTCGCCTAGTCGGCCCATTATCTATTGTTCCCTTCTTTTTTAAATGGATTATTTCACTCAAAACGACATCGTTTTGAGCAAAATAACTCTAAATTGTTCAAACTCTAGATGTTTTTTAGCTTAATATTTACTATTTTAGTATTAACTATTAAAGTATTAAATAGTTTATAATTATCAAGTCTTAAAAATTAAAAATAAAAATACACAGG